GTGGATGATAAAATTAATTCATGCATGAATGTGCAACTCAGTTTAGTTCCACATGCACTGCAAAAAATATTTTAAAAATCCTGTGAAGAAATTGTAAAAAAAAAAAAAAATCTGTAAAAAAACCGATGTTTTTAACTAGTTTATTTCTGTGATTTTACTGGATATTATCTTATTTAAAGTAATTTTATTTCTAAAAGATCATCTGCTATCATAACAGTTTTTGTCCAGACGTATTACGTATTTAATGCCCTATTTTTTCATCCAGATGAGTAAACCTTGTATTTAATGCTCATTTATTTCACGGTGCAGGCGTCCTCTTCAGTTTACACGATTAACTGCGGTTGTGTCACCAATTAAAAGCATTAAACTGAGGTTTGTATAGTTGACAGCAGCGGCAGAAAACTGTGTTCCAGCCTGTGAATGAGCTCCTTGTTCGAGTCGCAGCAGCCAGATTTATTCAGTTATTTATTTATTTTTCCACTCTGCACTGTTTGGATGAAGATATTGTGCTACGGCTCAGTGTTCGAGGGGGTTGCTGTTGGAAAAAACTGTTTGTCTTTCCTCCCACAAACTGCACACGTGCTCGCGACGTCCACACAGCCACCACTCCTCCTGCTCGCCTTCTTTTCTTTATATAACACAATAAGCTGGCTTTAGGTTTACTGCACACAGACGCTGAGCTGCACTCGACCACTGAGGGCTTGATTCTTTTCTTCGTCTGGATTCAAGGTGGGTTTCAACTCTCCTGCTGCAGAACTTAACGGCCTACACAGCACTTCTGGAAAGAGGAAACAGGAGGAAAGCTTTTAGCTTGTTAGCAAGTCCCTGCTGAATGCAGATGGGATCAGATTAGCAGCAAGACCAGCACATGCTCAGCACATGCCTTCCTCTGGACTTTGTTTTTTCAGGGCATGTACTCCTGCAGCCCGGTCGTCATTTTGAGCAAATTACAGGCTGAGAAACCATCGAGGAAAAAGAGACTGTCGAGGAATGGAAGTGCAGAGCTATACTTTGGAGCACAAGCAGAATGAGATAACATGTGTTGTTAAAAAGTAAGCCAAGACCTGCTTTGTGGCGCCGCCCCCGTCCAACGACTGACGGATGTTTATTCAAATGTGACACTGGAATCATGAGCACGAAGGAATCCTGCTGCTGAATCATTTACAGCTGTGGTCAGTGATTATCTGGCAGCAGTTTACTGTCCCTGTACTGTGCTTCAGCTCTTATTCAGCTCATTAAAGTTGTGTTTTTGAGGTGTTTTTATGCAGAAGAAAACCTTTTTGTGCTTCTGTTGAAAAAATACAGTTTTTGATGTGGATTTACAGGTTTTCACCCTTAGCATGTAAATGAATGCTTTATTTCTGTGGTATTACCTGTAATTCTTTTTTTTTTTTTTAATGAGCATTGAAGATAAAAACATCCATCCATCCATTGTCTTCCGCTTATCCGGGGTCGGGTTGCGGGGGCAGGAGGCGGAGAAGGTCGTCCCAGACCTCCTATATGGAAGAAAAACATCTGCTGTGGCAGGTTGATTAACATTTAAATTCTGATGTTTTGTCCTCAGCTGATCGATGAGGAGCCTCCCGGGAGTTTCTCTCCTCCTCCTGGTGGGGAGTTTGTCTCTCCTGATGAGTCCCAGCGTCCACAGTGGAAAGATCCTGGTGTTCCCGGTGGACGGCAGCCACTGGGTCAACATGAACATGCTGATCCAGAACCTCCATGCCAGGGGCCACGAGATCACGGTGGTCCGAACCGCCACCAGCTGGTACATCAAAGAAAGCACCCCCCATTACAGCTCCATCACCATCACCTTAACCGAAGCCATCTGCATCGAGACGGAGGACTTCTTCGTGACCTTCCTGGAAAAGATGTTGGCGGCCCAGCGAGAAGGAATGTCCTTGATGGGTTTGTTGAACTTCTACTGGGACTCCATCGGCATGCTGTCCAAAATCCACGAACAGGCCAGTCAGGTGGGGGTGCAAATCTTCGAGAGCGAGGCCATCATGCGGAGGCTTCGTGACGCTAAGTTCGACATGGTTCTGATAGACCCGGGGCTGCCCGTTGGAGTTCTGGTGGCTCACAAACTGAAGCTGCCGGTGGTTTTTAATGTGAGATGGATCACCAGTGGAGAAGGACATTCTGTGGTGGCTCCATCTCCAACGTCTTATGTTCCGGCTTCCGGATACGTCGCATCAGACCGGATGACGTTTCGGGAAAGATTCGGAAACTTGCTGCACTACAGCTTGAACACCGCCATCGACAGGTTTGCCGTGTCCCCTCACTACGACAAACTGGTGGACAGGTACTTCGATCCGGACGTGAACTTCTATCACCTCCTTCAGGGCGCCGACCTCTGGCTCATGAGGGTGGACTTTGTGTTTGAGTTCCCGCGGCCGACGATGCCCAACGTCGTCTACATCGGCGGGTTCCAGTGCAAACCATCGGAGCCGCTGTCGTCAGAGCTGGAGGAGTTTGTTGAGAGTTCTGGAGATCATGGCGTCGTCCTCATGGCTCTGGGGACGCTGGTCAAAGGTCTGCCGCTGGAGATCACTTCAGAAATCGCAGCTGCATTTGCTCAACTTCCCCAAAAGGTGATATGGAGGCACGCCGGCGAGCGCCCCGACAACGTGGGCAACAACACCCTCCTGGTGAAGTGGATGCCCCAGAACGACCTGCTGGGTCACCCGAAGGTCAGAGCCTTCGTGGGCCACGGCGGCACCAACAGCATCTACGAGGCCATGTACCACGGAGTGCCGATCGTCGGCATCCCGCTGCAGTTCGACCAGTTCGAAAACGTTCTCAGGTTGGAAACTCGCGGAGTCGGCAAGATGGTGGAGGCGATTAAAATCAACCGCCAGAGCTTTCTGGAAACGTTACGAGAAGTTATTCACAATCCGTCCTACAGGAACAACATGAAGCGTCTGTCGGCTCTCCATCGGGACAAACCGATCCATCCTCTGGACGCCGCGATTTACTGGATCGAGTTTGTCATTAGGCACAAAGGAGCCTCCCATTTACGCACTGAGTCGTATAAGCTGCCCTGGTACGTCTATTACTCTGTGGACGTTTTATGCTTTTTCTTGGCAATCTTCTTGATGCTCACGGCCGCTGTAGTAGGATCCATACGATTCCTCTGCCTTCGACTGTGCCGGAGGAGAAAACCAAAGCAGGAGTGACTTGTCAACTAATTAAAACATCCTAATGATATTCTAGATTTTTGCTATTGTGAGCAAATTCAATGAAAAGCCTGATTCCAGTGACCTTGGCTGTTACCACCACCAACTCACACTGCAGTTTAACTAAATCCGTCATCCTGCTTCTAAAAACATCAGATGTGTATTAATCCGCACCTGAAAGTAGTCCCCGACCAACTGCACTGTTCACATCTATTTGAGTTTGTTAAGTGTTTTAAACAACTGCTGAACATTTTTAAACACATTTATCAGCACACTCAGAAAAAAGTGACAAAGGTAAAGATATGCAATCCAGTCAAATGATGAATGTGTTTGTTTCGTGTACTTTGTAATTTCACTGCAGTAACTATATTTTTACAGATCTGACATTTAACATCAAACTAATCTGCCTTGTTTCCTGATATATATATTTTTTATAAATCAAGATTTTATGATGAATGCTGCAAAAATTGTTGTGTATTATCACTTGAAGACAAAATACTTGATGAAAATAAAACATTAAGAAAAGACAAATTGCTTGGCAGGTACTGTTTTTGTTCTCTGCAATGTCCGTCTATCCAATATCCATACACCGCTTAATCCTCACCAGGGTCATGGGGGGCTGGAGTCTATCCCAGCTGACTCAGGGTGAAGGCAGGTTCACCTGGACAGGTAACCAGTCTATCACAGGGCTACACTTAGAGACAGACAACCAAGCACACTCACATTCACACCTACGGACAATTTAGAATCACCAATTAACCTCAACATGTTTCTGGACGAGGGGCTGCAAAGTGGCTCTGTGGATAGCACTGTTGCCTTCCTCGCAGCAAGAAGGTCGCCGGTTCGCGTCCCGGATCTTCCTGCGTGGAGTCTCCATGTTCTCCTCGTGCAGAGTGGGTTCTCTCCGGGTTCTCCAGCTTCCTCCCACACAGTCCAGAAACATGCTGAGGTTAATTCCAGAAACATGCTGAGGTTAATTGGTGATTGTAAATTGTCCGTAGGTGTGAATGTGAGTGTGCTTGGTTGTCTGTCTCTAAGTGTAGCCCTGTGATAGACTGGTTACCTGTCCAGGTGAACCTGCCTTCACCCTGAGTCAGCTGGGATAGACTCCAGCCCCCCAGGACCCTGTTGAGGATTAAGGTGTAGAGATGATGGATGGAAGGATGTTTTTGGACTTGTGGGAGGAAGCCAGAGAACCCACGGTGCACGGGGAGAACATGGAGACTCCACACAGAAAGATCACAGGTGTCCTCACTGGGACGCGAACCGGCGACCTTCTTGCTGCGAGGCAACAGTGCTTCTTTGCAATGAGTTAAAGGAATCTGAAGACTTAATGCTACTTTATTTTAAATTAAAACATGTACACAGTCGCCCTGTTACCAGTCTAATAGTCTACAGGTAGTCATCAAATTTATTTACAATCTAAAGCGAGACACGGAAATGAACATGGACTTCACACAGAGCTATAAATAAGGTTATTAAGGCTGCTGAACCTTGTTCAGTAGGAACTGGGCTTCAGGCTATGTCAAGAGACAGACGACCATGTAGCTGATTTTGGTCCCTTTGTGAGTTTTGTTTGCAATGACAAAGAGACTGAAGAGACAAAGAGAAAGATGGAAACATGTTCAAGAAAAAAAAAAAAAAAGTCAGCCAGAGATTCAGTCTCAGCACAAGTTAGTGCTGTTACATGACTTTCTGGCTGATGTCAAGGACTGGATATTCCACAATCTCCTCCAATGATATCTGGAAAAAACTGGGATTATTCAGGGGGAAGAAAAGCTTGATTGACTTCAGTCTGTCCGTCTTTGTTTTGCCGCATGTAGTACGGGAAAAATATCAACATCTGCCAACTAAAAACTCGGTACCCTAACTTGAGCAGGTTTTTTTCAGGGTTTCCCACGGGAGTTGAACTTCAACATTTTAAGCCACACCTTTACAAACACATTGGTGAAGAAATTGTTTGGTAACGATTTAGTTGGCAGATTTGTGAAAAAATCTCATAAGATGCCCTGACTAAGAGGACTTACATCTCATACAGTCTGTGGGTTCGACACCAAACACAGAACTGCCTCTGGTTGCTTCAGTAAAAGGCTCCACCTGGTGGCGTAACCAGGTACTACAACTAATCCACACTACTTGAAGTGTGTATCACCAGTGTCAGGTATCAGAGGACACCAAAAATTAAATAACTTTGTTCAAAGCAGGAGCAGAGAAAAATAAACTAACACATAAGACCTCATATAAATTTACCTGACTGATTCTGAAATTAGGATTTATACTAAGGATGTTCAGATTTTTTTGGCCAATTCAATTTATTTCTCACAGTATCTGCTGATACCCAGTCACCAATCAGATAGAGTTTTCCTGGATAACACACGCTTCAAGTATGGTAGATTAGTGGTAATATCTGGCTGTTCTCACTGTTTAATACAGTTATCTGTTGACAAGCCGCCACCAGGACAAAGATTTCTGTGATGCTTAATGACATCCAGCCAGGTGTTGAATAAAGCTGAGAGCTACAAAGTTAGTGTTTCTACGTCCTAGCTCCATTTGTGAGCTGGATCATCTATTCCTGGCTGACAGTAGCAATATCAGCACAGGACAAATACACAATATACACATTGATTAGTTCTACATTTGTCAAGAAAACTATTCAAATTCATGACACCAGACAAAAAAAGGGTAAACAAAGTCAGGTTGGTGTGGATATTGATCGGTTAAAAACTGCCTTGATCAGATTGGGACGGGGACACCCCTTGTTAATACCTTATAAACTCTAGAAGTCCAAGATTTCCCAGAGTGATGAAGCTAAGATCCAACACAATCAACACAGTCCCACTGAAGCAAACCAGCAGTTCATTGTGGTTGGTGAAGTCCTGCACGCTGTAAAACCCTTCTGGTGAGTTTAAAGGACACATTTCAGGTAAGCGACCTCCATCCTGTGCACATGTACTCACAGAAGAATCAACCAATCCTAACAATGAACTATCTAAGAGGAACCTTGGACGGAACGGAGATTTGATTTTGCCATCAACAAACTATAATTCACAATAAACTTTACAGAAGTTGCTGAAGAGAAGAAACAATATAAGACTCCTTAAGTTACAACAACACAAGTAAAAGTTTCACTGAAAAGTGTAATAAGAGTACACTGCTAAAAAAAAAAAAGTGGCAAAAAAAATCTGTTAAAAAACTACAGCAACGTTCAACAACTGTGAAAACGAGCAAAATAATGTCAAATATCTGTTAAAAAAAATAGATTAAGCTGATTTAAATCGGATAAAACAGTCATTTTATGGTCACATGTTGTAAAAGAATAAATGACTAATCGTTACTCTACTGACTTTGGTAGGTTGTATTAAACAAAACAGAGAAATTCCCTTTTTTTTTTGTTCTTAATATATTTATGAATATACTAAATAAAAAAAAAAAAGCAGATTAAAATTGCGTGCAAAATTTCTGTAAAAAAAAGAAATAAAAAATTAAAAAGGATATGGACAGTATTCACTGTTTTGCTTTTCCATTAAATTTTAAATTAATAACTTTCCCCACCCATAATTTTACTAGATATTATCTGTAATTTACCAAAAAAGGGAAAATCTGTAAAATAACCATTAAAAAAATACTTACCATTTCCCAGTCTTTAATATATATAGTTTGTCCTTTTAATAAACAACAAATATCTGCAAAAAAAGTATATTTAATGCTTATTTTAACACAGTAAAAAGAGTCTAAATGTACAGAAATGTTGTGGTAAAAGAATGAAAAACATAATTTACCAAACTATAAATTTATTTATTTATAGTTTTGGAATGTTTTTTTAGCGTTAACATGCAAATTAATACATTTACTTGTTATTATCTGTAATTTACCTGTAAAACTTGTAAAACAACAGTAAATTGTTCAGAAACTTACAGGTAAGAACCGTGCAGGCATAAATACGCTTTTAGTACAAACAGGTACAAAGTTCTATTTAATGTTCTCACACTAAACCTGTGCTCGTGTCACTAAGACGTGTAGAAATGTTTTAACCTCCTGAGACAATATTCTGATCTACGTGTTCGGCGCTGAGGTCGGCGACTAAACCCGGCCTTTACTCTTCCACACCAGCAGATAGACGAGGACGGGCACGAAGCTGACGGGGACGACGGTGAGGACGACCACCAGGCCATGGGGAGCGTCCTCCGGGAACTCCTCTCCTCCTCCTCCTCCACCTCTGCTGCAGTTCTGGAAGTAGCTGGAGTGGATGTAGAGGAAGAAGTCCTGGATGTCGCGGTTCGGGAAGTAGCAGCCGACGAGAAAAGACACGTGTTCCAAGCATACTGTCAAGTCATTGTACGGGCTGCAAAAAGGTCAGGAAGCAAAGTCAAAACCCCACAAAAACAACATTTAATGTGTAGGCTGGGACACCCAAAAATAATACAATACCTCAAAGCAACACTCTCATAAAAATGGGCTAATTTTTCATCATTTAAATACATTTTCTAGCCTTAATTTAATGTGTATTTTAAAAAAAAAATCTTTAATGAGGAATATTTAAAGGTGTAAAAACATTTAAATTATTTATAATAACAACAATGATAACAGATGAATAAATAGATAAAACTCTGTTTTTCCACATGATGACTGCTTACAGGTATTATATGCAGATAAAAACACATTTATTCCACTTCTTTTGTTGTGTTTTTGATAAAAATCTCTCATTTATTAAACAAATGTATGTAAAATTACAGAACCAATACTACTTTTTACTAACTAATAACGGCTAATTTACTGTTGTACATAGGACAAACACATATACAGCATTAGGTTTGAATTCAACAGTTTCATGTAATAAACTTTCAACCAGTCCAACTAGTCCAAGATGAGGCTTCATCCAC